CATGTTAAAAAGGTCAGTATGAATCCCAAATCGTCGTTTTCCAATATACCTTTCATGTTTTGGTCTGTAAATATCTGTAAAAGTCTTCCTGATCTAATCACTTTTTTCCCCTTAATTTTTCAAAGCCTCCCCCTTGTGGATGAAAGCGTAATATGACATCAGACCCTTTGATATCCATGTTTTGAACCGATTATCATGAGTATTTGGAGGGAAATCAGAGTCATAGGCTACCCATCTTAATATTTTTTATATTTTCTCCAGTTCACAAATTCTAAGACCTTCATCCCAACTTTTCAAGAGAGTTTTTATCTAAAGTTTGAAACAAATCCAAACAGTATATATCTAATGCAGGCGTGTATTATGTAAGAAAATGCAAGATTGAAGTGAGTTTGATTTTGTCTTACTCTGTGCAGCATTTTGAGAACTTTAAAAATGTGCTGTGGAAATAAAGTGAATTTGATACTTTTAGTTTAGTTGTTTTATTCTAACATGAACACTAGGGGGAGCTGTCACACTTTAACATTGTGAAATCTCAGCGACAAAACAGAAGTATATTAGTGTATTTGTGTATTTTTAATCAAAACATTAAAGATGCAATGTGTAACTTTTTGGAAGGGGGTCCCACACCTGCTTGTCTTCATGGAAATGTTATTAATTTGTCCAGAATGTCCCGCAGTATGACATTAAACTTACCTATTTCCTCCAAGGCCGCGTTACAGGTCAGATTTTTGAGCAGTAAAACACCTGATTGTAATTGAATAAATGCGACATGGACAGTGTTGGGGAGTAACGGATTACATGTACCGCCGTTACGTAATCAGAGTACAAATTGTGAGTAACTGTATTCCGTTACAGTTACTGTTTCAATGAGTGGTAATTGGATTACAGTTACTTTGCTGAAATAAGTGGATTACAAGGCGGTATTTTCCTGTTTTCACATTTTGTGCTACATCCCATTTATTTATTTTTTTATTTCGGTAATTCCACTCATTGCCGGAAACCCAAACAGAACGCGCGCAATAAGACCGATGTAAACGTCATGTTAAAGTTGGCGGTGTCAGTCACACAGTGGAAGCAGCAGTGCATTGGTAAAAACGCATTTGTGTCTTGGAAATTCTTCTCCCGATGTGAGATAAATATATATATATATATATATATATATATATATATATATATATATATATATATATATATATATATATATATATATAATATATATATATAAAACAAATATAAAATCGCCTACAACTTAAATGTGAAACAGGAGCTACTGGCACTGGTGAAAACAACCTGCATAGACTCATAATATCTGTACTACTGTCCTATACACAAACACACACAAACACACACACACACACACAAACACACACAAACACAACACACACAAACACACACCTTCATCATCGTCATCAACCTGAGAACCCGCGGACCACGTCTCCTTCCGTAGTTACTGCGCGGACACCGACGTCTCGTGCGCCGCGTGTGGACCGTGTTTTCTCGCGTAAACCGCGCTTCCTCCTGTGCGCCTCTAAACCAGAACTAACACCAGGACTAAACCAGGACTAAACCGGGACTAAACCAGGACTAATCCAGGACTAAACCAGGACTAAAGCAGGACTGAACCGGGTTTAAACTACGACTAAACCACGACTAAACCAGAACTAAAGACCTGGTCTAGACCTGGTCTAGACCTGGTCTAAACCAAGTCTAAAATCAGGACTAAACCAGGACTAAACCAGGTCAAACAACATGACACCTAACAGTAGGTTGACATAATTTAAGGTGATCTCATATAAAAAATTATTTCTCTATCAATAATATTTTTTAATCTGGTGAAGGAAAAGCTGATCTTGTTACTGTCTTTTAACAGACAAAACCTCTTATATTCAGATCTCGTGGTCTTTGTTTCTCTACAGTAAACAGTTGTTTATTCATGGAGACTTGGGCTCAGACAATTTGAAGACAACAAACAAGAATTTTCAGGATGTGGTTGCTACATTCATGTCGTTTAAAAAAGCATGACAATATCAAGTAATCCAAAGTAATCAGATTACGTTACTCACTTTAAGTAATTTAATGGATTACGTTACAAACTACATTTTGGGGTGTGTAATCTGTAATCTGTAGGGGATTACATTTTAAAAGTCACCTTCCCAACACTGGACATGGATGAGTTTAATGCCATACTGGGAAACATTTCAGGCAAAGCAATAACATCTCCATGGAAACAAACTTGTGTCACACTACAGAAAAGTCACACAGTGCACGTTTAAACTAAAATAAAAGACATAAAAGTTGGTCTTTGACAGAGACTTTAACAAACATATTTATTCACATTCTTCATATACGACAAACACAACGACTCTCGAAATAGAAAATAAAATGAAATATAGTTTGTTGGCTACTTTATGTCACATGCTGGTTAGAAAAAAAGTAACATTTACAGTTCAAATACCCAATGGACACAGATACACGCTTTGATTTAAATATGATAAGGCTTCAATATAATAGGCCTAAACACAAGAGGTACGTCGTTTTTCACAGTTCAACCTTATATTCTCTCTGTTTTGTAACATTAACAGTTAATATATCATTTTACTCACTTTATTTGATGTATTTTAAGGTAGTTTAATGTAAAAGTTGCTAAAAGATTTTTGAGAAGGGACACAGAAAAAAAAATATAATAAAAACAATAATAATAAGGTAAAATAATGTTGGTGAAACTTTCAAAAGTTTAGGAATGACTTGTTTGAATCTGGAAAACTGCAATTTGGGAACATTCCTGGAAATAAAGATCTTCTGATTTTAAATACTTCGATTTTAAATAATATTTAAATACGTCCTATGCATCCATCATGAATTTTGAACTTCCGGTCATTGCGCAATACAGACTGGAAAGGATTTTCTGAAAAAGTGAGCATCAAATCGCCATGTTTGTTTTCCCAGTGGGATGCGTCTATTGACAAAGTCGATCTTTTCAAGTCTTTTGAACCATATCACTTTTGTTTCTGGTTCTGATATTGTCATATTTTAGTTTTTGGGATTCGGACATCGTAATTGTGTGATTGTTGGATCCTATCAGTGGAAAACGGCTCGAGAAATGGGCTTCGGAAGTTTGCGAACTCCATAAATGCAAAAGTGAATCAGATGTGTGTGACTGCAAACCTCTGTTCAAACTGTTTCTCTTCCCAACGGAATTGAAAAATAGTGAAAGGTGAAGGCGATGGACAGGATTGATCCACAGGAAGGACCAAAAAGGAAACCATAAGAAATAATCCAGAGTTTGCAGTGAACATTTTGTATGTGGAGCGATATCAAAGCAGGATCCCGTTTATTAATCGAGAGGCACATAAGACAAACAGACTGAGCTGCACTTTCTTGTTCTTGTGGTTTTAAAACAACATCACGTCTTGGTCTCTTTGCAGTGGAAGGTGTTTCTTGGTGAACAGCTGCTGCCTTTCGCTTTGGCGTTGACTTTTTAAATTTGTAATCGAGGTTGAGTGCTCCACATACAAAATATTCACTGCAAACTCTGGATGATTTCTTAGGCAGCCAAAGGTTTTCGGAAAATCCTTCCCAGTATGTATTACATAATGACCGAAAGTCCGAAATTCATGATGCATGTATTGTCACACAAGACAATAGGTTGTTGTACATTGGTGTTGTTGTTGTTATAGTATATTTTGTTGAGTAATAAAAAGCTTACAAAAATTGCTAATTTCAAAATAAAAGTAGACAAACGAGTCAATTTCAATGAGCAACTGAATTTTAGTTGCTGAAATGTTAAATATACTTTTTCAATATGTATAAAAAATTCACCTTTTAAATATTCAACACAGATATTTTCAAGACCTCAAATTTTTTACACTTTGTTGTATTTCAGGACTTGAAACTATCTGTGCTGAACATTTAAAAGGCGAATTTGTAATACACTTTAAAAATGTAGACTAAAAAAGCTCAAAATCAATATTCAAAATAAAAAATTATTCAAACATGTTTTCTCAGAGTTAAAAAAAATTCCAAGTGAGAAATTCAACAGTATTTAAAACTCAAAATCTGATGAAACAAATTGTCATTTCAAAATAAAAATAGACAAAACTTGCTGTGCAATTTAAACAGGGATATTTCTGCACAGTTTTTGTTAATTTCACAGTCAGATCGAATTTATTTGTACTTGAACCTCAACCAAGACAATGATAGACATTTTATAGCACTTGTTTAATGAATCGCAAAAATATATCTGGTTATTGTAATGGGAAAAGTTCTAATAATAGTAGTTTTCAAATTACAAATGCCCATATTCTTTGGTATTCAGTTGTATTCACATTGTATCCAGGTTTGATCCCAGTTTAGTCTTGCACCTAAGCTGTAGACTTGGTTTGGTGTTGGTCTAGTCCAGGTTTAGTTCCAATTTAAAGCTACTGATACTTCGCAGTGGCATCGCGCTGGGGGTTTGCTGCATGTCTATAGCAGTTGTTCAGCAGTTACCATGGTGACACAAATGCACTTAGGCTACGTTCAGACTGCAGGGATTAATGCTCAATTCGGGGTTTTTTGGTGAAATCTGATTTTTTTTGCGAGGTCGTTCACGTTTCCAATTAAAGGCGACTTGTATGTGATCTCCAGAGTGAACTTTAAATGGTCCAAAAGTGTCCCGCATGCGCATTGGAGGTGCTCAGTGTTTACAGAAGTCGCCTAAACATTGGGCTTGTCTCCCAAAATACGGTCCAGGTTACACGTCCACGGCCGCTTCGTTTGTTTGAGTCTTTAGCCTCCTTGGATTTGTCTCGCAGGCTCTTTATTTTTCATCGACACTGGAGCCGGGACCGCCTGTAGCCTCGCTCGGACATTTCTTTGGCATACATTTCTAAAACTGCCTGGTTCTGATAAGACCGCTCCAATTTGTCCTGAATACAGCGATCCCCCCAAATATTAATAAACTCACTAACCTCACTTTCCCTCCGTTGACGAGACTCTGAGCCTGACGTGTAGGTGGATGAATGCGCTTTGGCCGTTCAGACTGAAGTCGCATGTCAAAAGATCGGATATGTATCAGTTTTAGGAGCACAGTCTGTGTTGTTCAGACTGTCATTAAAAGATCGAAAAAAATTTGATTTAGGTCATAACACATTTTTAAGAGCCTGTGAGTGGTGTTCATGATCTTGTTTTGGAGTTTGATTAAAGGCAAAAGAGAAATTCAATTTGTCAACTGGACAAAAGTTTATTTGGTCGAATATGTTTCTCAGCTCATCCAAGCTGCTTCTTCAGTTCTGGTCAAAATGCTGGTGGACACTTTCTTATATCTGCCTGAAGGGAGGAGCTAACTACACTGAAACTACTCTGAAACTAACACACCTACTTGTTTACATTTTATGTTAGTTATTTAGGTCTAGAGTGTGGGGTCTTTTGTCCAGTAGACAAATTGAATTTTTCCTTTGTCATGGATTGGATTTTTCATGAGTTTGATAAAAAAATAAAAAAAAAAAAGAGAGAGTGACTAACTGAAAAACTGTTGGCCAAGTTATGTGAGAGTCTTGTTTAACAGCACAAACCATCTCACTTGTAGTTCCAGGTAAATCAGTTCTTTATGCTCAGATTTGGTTAAGATTAAAGTCTAACTTGAGTAACGGCGCTTCAGACAGAGCAGTGCCTCCAGTTAGCATCACACCCCCAGGGAATATCGAGCTGCAAGGTATCGACTATCCTCTCAGAACATCGTAGCGCTTCTTGGCCCAGATCATTCTGGCCACGTGGATGTCCTTTCTGTCTTTTAACGAGATCGCGTCCCAGGAGTATTCTGGAGAGAGCAGCTTGGTGGGTTTGTGGAGCCAGAAGTACTTGTTCAAATGGCTTTCGTCGTGCCAGAGCGCCTCCACGTTGTTCTTCTTATCCTCCATGATGCCGTTGTAGCAGTATTCCACCAGAGCTTTGACGTTGGGCCAGGTGCCTCCAAACAACGCAGCGTGGTAGTAGTAGTCTCCAGTCTCCATGTACGCTTTCGACTTTGGGTTTCGATCGTACGTGAAAGCCTCTTGTTTTACGGTGTAGTAATAAGAATGCAGAACCGTCACGGACTCGCCCAGCGCCTCCGTTCCGAACCGGGCTTCGAAAATGCTGTCCACGTCCAGGCAGAAGACGTACGGGTGTTTGTAGCTGATCTCCTTGTCGATAATCTGGGATAGAGTTTTCATTCGCATCATGGAGATGTCTTGCCATCGGGAGTGGCCCTGGGTGTACAGGACTTTCATGGTGCGGTCAGGACCCAGGACGAACTCAGGGACGTCTTCGGGAGTGTCCGTGAATATGTAGTAAGTCAGTGGAATCCCGATCATGAAGTGTTTTTCTGCTGAGATGATGAAGTTTTTCAAGTACGCCTCCAAGTATCTGTAAGAGAAAGGATCATAAGAAAAAGGATCATTTACATGGTCTATGACAGCTTAGACTACTTATTTTACTAAAATGCAGTGAAGACTTAACCTGATTCATCTCTGACCTCGCAGCATTAAGATTTGTTCGCTCAATGGTAGGCGGGTACTTCTTTTTTTTAACCAGTGGTTGGTATTTGGTGATGACTGGTGTGTGTGTGTGTGTGTGTGTGTGTATATATGTATATATATATATACACACACACACTGGTATATTAAGCTTTTCCCAAATCTTATAGGAAGAAGGACAATAACGTCTTTCCCCTTGATAAAATTCACCAAACATTCTCTTTGTTACTGCTTTAAATCCTCATTCTCGGGAATTGTTGCGAAGACAATATAATAATAATGCATTATTGTTATTTAACGCTTTTTTGGACACTCAGACACTTTACAGAGCATTATTCATTCACTCCAGACCCCATGGTGGTAAGCCACTACTGTAGCCACAGCTGCCCTGGGTCAGACTGACGGAAGCGAGGCTGCCAATCTGCGCAATCGGCCCCTCCAACCACCACCATCACTCACACACACACCACTCTCATACTAGGCAATGAGGGTGAAGTCTTGATTAAGGAAACAACAACAGTTTTTTTTACAACTGCTGCCCCACTGTGGCACCTGATTTTCCCAGTGGTCTCGCGTCCAAGTACTGACCAGACCCGACTGAGCTTCTGAGATCTGACGGGATCAGGCTTTAACAAGCCCGTATGGCCACATAATATATCTGGAGTTTTTATTTATTTATTTTTTCCACACAAATTTACCTAGAAGTTGACTTACCCCCATCTTAAGACATGCCAAATATCAAACTAAAATGTGAAATTTTGGCTTTTCTGGCTCTGATTTACCTACCAAGTTTGATCAAAATTTGAGGAAGTAGGGTTTAACTCATTGTGTGAACTGAGGTGGACTGACCCCTCAGTCAGAACCAAATATCATCATCCATCAGATTTGTTTTTTCAGTGACTCGTGAAAAAAGGAACTTACTGGTCACACATCATTTACAAACAAATCACACTTCCGCACAAGCAAACCATAGTTGTTTCGATAGACAGAACATGTCTGTCCCTGATTGGCTAATCCACCTGTCAATCACACCCACCTGAACTCATGTTAAAGGAGAAGTGTGTTGTGAACCGCAGACAAAGACCGTGTAATAACATCAGATTAATGGATTAGAGAGTTTATTCACCCTTTGGAGCACAAAACACCTGCTGTTCAGTCACGGAGACAGAATGATTTATATGAATAATAATTAAAATAATAATAATGTATATAGTGCTTTTCTAAACATCCAAAGATGCAGCACAAAGACAACAATAAAGAGATTAACTTTTTTGTTTGGCCACTCAAAGGAAGCTTCACACATCATTTATTCTCTCACTTCATACTTCATACTTCATACTGAGTTACTTTTATAACCATTACTGACTGACAAATGGAAGTGAAGCTGCCAATCTGCACCTCTGGCTCCTCAAAATCCAAATCTAATTTATTTCTAAAGCACAGCAGTTTCCAAAGTGCTGCACAGAGATCATAAAATTAAGACAACAAAAAGGTAAATTGCTAAAATTTGGTCGTACCAGTCCTAAAACAAAACAGAAAAAGCTAAATAAAAGCAAAACCATAAAAATCATAGGAGTTTGCAAAAATATCAAAATATCAATATATACTATCGCTTTATGTTATGATACAGTATTGATATCGTGGGCTGCTGTATCAATATATCACGAAGAGTATTTTTTGGGGTATATTTTACTGGAGATGTAACAATAACCGGAATATCGTGATATCGTATCGTCAAAGTTCTCACAACAACATTATGGACCATCACAATATATCGAATAACAAGTCTCTTTGCTTAAACTGAGAGTTATGGTGCAGCAATAGCTTAAAGACAGAGGGAACTACATAGACCATGATCCTTTGCTCCATTTCAGCGCAGACTACAAGAAGAAATAACAGTTCTAAGCACTTTTAAGTCTTCGTTCTTTGGATTAAATCTTGTCAAGGCATTTTAAAAGGAAAAAGTCGCTATTTACAGTTTTGTTTATCTCCAAAAAATATCGCAATAAATATCGTACCTTGAGTTTTGGATATTGTTACATCCCTAATCCTGAGCCTCTCCTCTATATCGTGAGCTTTCCCATGATATCGCAATAAATGTCGTACTGTGAGTCTCATACCGTGAGACTTCGATATCGTTACACCTCTATATTTTACTAAACTATTTTTGTTACAGCTACAGTTTTGTTGTTTGTTTAAAGGAAAGAAACTCGTTTATGCGACACATTTGACATTTTCACTGTTCTGAGGATTAAAATGGGGATATAAGAAAGAGGGCAAGCCTACCAGACATAAACCATTATCCATTTATTAGTGCACAGAGTGAGACACTAATACTAATAGTCACGTAATTAATTCATTTTTCCTAGAAGTTGACTTACCCCCATCTTAAGACATGCCAAATATCAAACTAAAATGTGAAATTTTGGCTTTTCTGGCTCTGATTTACCTACCAAGTTTGATCAAAATTTGAGGAAGTAGGGTTTAACTCATTGTGTGAACTGAGGTGGACTGACCCCTCAGTCAGAACCAAATATCATCATCCATCAGATTTGTTTATTTCAGTGACTCGTGAAAAAAGGAACTTACTGGTCACACATCATTTACAAACACACTTCCGCACAAGCAAACCATATTTGTTTCGATAGACAGAATATGTCTGTCCCTGATTGGCTAGTCCACCTGTCAATCACACCCACCTGAACTCATGTTAAAGGAAAACCGTTTTAAAGGAGAAGTGTAATAATAAATAGTCACATAATTAATTCATTTTCAGTTATCCAGCATAATACATATGATTCAGAAATCCCTCGGTGAGTCACTTGGATGGGGTTGGAGAGCTCCTGAGCTACAGGCTGGAGACCCACCTCATATTTAGGGACACATTTAAAGTCACATTTATTACATTTAAAACCAAAATATACACGCAGTTCCCTTAACAACATACTACTGCTGATCAGTGAACAATAACATGAAGTCCTATTCAAACTTGTGCTTCAGAACAGAGTGGAGCCAATGATGCAAATCTGTCAGGAAGAGAATCTGGTTCGTCCTGCTTCCTTAAGAACTCATGTGTCCCTATCGCGCCCCTGATCTCAGCACTAGTGCAAGTTTAGGGCGGGCATGGAGCTCTAAACAGTCGGTGTGCCGAGCCTGGGTATCAGGTGGAGCGGAGCAGATCGAGGGCGTGGCGTGTTGCATTCAGTGAATACCAGAATCGTAAAAATAAATATCAAATGAGTTCAGTGAAAAACAACATGCAACGACTTCTTTTATTTGGAAATATATTAGGATGATCACTGTTGGGCAAGTTACTTTGAAACTGTAATGCGTTATTTATTACCCATTACTGTCATTTCAAAGTAATTCGTTACATTACAATATTACTGCATTTAAAATGTAAGGCATTACATTACTATTGCATTACTTTAAGTTACTCTCACCAAAATAACTTTTGCGCTGTATATGGACTGAACCAGGACTAAACCAGGTCTGAACTAGGACTAAAACAGGACTCACTGTCAGGACGGGCTTGAAGGTGACGCAGGAGAAAGGAGCGGCTCTGCTCCGCACCTCACGGAGGTAAGAGCGGCTGTCACCCGATCGCTCTTTACAGACATCCTGCTGCTCGGGCTCACGGCCCTGATTTCAGCAACTATTTGCAGGGACCCGAGCCGGTGCAAGAGTCTGTTACAGCGCGTAACTTCTACCTTCCTTCAGCGTGTCCAGAAGTCCAACTTTTTGTGTGATGTTTGCATCTTCCTCTGCCTTTTGGGTGCGAGCGCAGGAGCCTTTGTCGGTGCAGAACGTTTCGTCGACGTTGTGGGTTTCGTCGGGGAGAAAACTTGCAACCGTACAGCACTTCAGAATCACACTGCTAGAGACTGAACATGTATTTAAATTTGGCAGCTGGACACATTCTGTACTGTACTGACAGGAGACAGGAGTCCCTTGGCCAGTCAGGACGCAGCGGGAGGAACGCAATACACATTCATACAATGTAAAAAAAAAAAAAAAAAAAAAGGGCATGCAAAATTGCACACAAAAAAAAAAATAAAAAATCTGCGAAACAGCGAGACCGCGAAAAGTGAACTGCGATAGAGGGAGGGACGAGTGTAAACCAGGTCTAAACTAGAACTGACCCAGGTCTAAACCAGGTCTAAACAGCGTGGAGTTCTTTGTCAGTCCTTTCGCCCGCGGTTACCTGAAGGTCTATATGAGGGCGCATCTCCGGCGTTTCACCGCTGCTGATATCGAGGTGATTTTAGCGAATTTGTATGAAGAAAAAACCACCACTTCAATCCAGATTAAAAAAAAAAACAAAACATTGTAACGCGCGTTACTCACATTTGTACCGAGTAAAATATTACTATTTTTTCCCCTGTAATGCCTTACATTACTGCGTTACAGCAAAAAGTAATGCATTACTGTAATTCGTTACTTTTATAACGCGTTACTCCCAACACTGAGGATGATAAATGCTTAACATGTTCGTGTGCCGTCCGGATGCACCACCCACAGCAGAGCACAGTCCCACGCCCGCTCACTTCTGCTCTGTGGTTTGTTTGATCTGGATCTGTACAAAAGCTGCTCATTCATTCACACGAGACCGTTCACAGTGATGCCCTAAAGTGTATTTTCTCGCCCTGTCTGTGGTTCAGACTGTTTCCCCTTCCCAGAACAGAACTGAACGGTATGATTAAACGGACGATTAAAACAGGTTTTCTAGTCGGCTGGCCATTGTTAGGGCTGCCAACCGTCCCTTGAACAATGGAATCGTTCCGTATTGAGGTGAAAAGGGATGCGCTTTGTTCCGTATTACTGTGAGAATCAAAATAGTGTGTACTCAATGGAACGGCGCTTTAAAAGAAAAATTACAGTAAACGGCTGTGGGGCTCTGGGCTCTGAGCTCTGGCCCGGCCTTGGGCTCCGAGCCGCTGGTTCTCTGGTCTTTCTCTTTCTTCTCCTTCGTTCAGATGCGAGGTGTCCAAATAGAGGCACTGATTTATGATAATCATGAAACTTTTTAAATTCAAGTAATCCGAATTTGGCCAGATTTTAGTTTAGCATTTTTTTTCCCCACACGCTTTTACAAACACCCGAGTCTACAACCATATCCTGTCTCCCTCATTTCCAGTGGGCGTGACTGACAGGCGGATTGACCAATCAGAGAAATGCACGGTGTGTTTGTGTCAAAACAAACACGCTGACTTACGAGAAAAAAAAAAAGAAATATAACAGAGGACTGGGAAACACACTTAATTACTTCGTACACGTTTCTCTTGTGCAAAATGTTTCGTAGTGTTTTGTTTTTTTAGAGTACCTGCCGACGGCGAAGACGGTGAGAGCCACGGAGGTGTTGGCTTCTCTGTGCGCTTTATCGTACACAGCTCCATCGAACATGCCCTCCCACATGATGGGGGCCTTCCAGGGGGTCTGTGTGGGCACGTCCGGACGAGCTCTGAGCAGGGAGAGCAAATTAAAGATTACAAAACAAAACAATAACAAAACACATATGATTTGGACCAGAGCTTCTGAATGGCACACAAAAGAAACTAAAAGAAACAGAAGGAATTACATAGAACACAATCATTTGCTCAGTGCAATTTACCTGATGAAATAAATGTTATAAGCACTTTTAAATCTTAAGTCTTTGGTTTATGACAGAATCAAAGGCTGTTCAGGTCATTTTTAAAGGAAAAAGTACTGTAGTATATTTACACTTTTGTTACGCTCTAAAAATATTGTAATAAATATCGTACCGTGAGACACATGAATAAATACATTGTGAATGAAATGTTTTTTTAAGATTAAGGTGTGGTTTAAGAACAGTTCATTTGATGAAAGATAGCACACATTGACAGGTTAGATAAAAATGACGTGGCTACAACAGAACTGGATAAAGCATTCCTCTGTCCCAGCTCGAGACCAACTAGTGGCCGCTCCAGGTACTGCAGCTCCCGGGAGTTTGGGCCCAGACAGAATTCTCCCACAGAGCCCAATGCATTTTTTGGGAATTCAGACTGCCTGTGTTCGACTGATCCACAACTTTCACAAAAGTCTGATTTTGTAGTATGCTTTTCTATTTTCACAGCATAAACTTTTTAAAATGTTTAAATCCTCAAAGCGCCTAAAATTTAGTTTTGAAAGACTTAGCCTAGTCCCGCTCCAGCTCCGCTCTAGCAGCGCTCGCTCTCATTGGTCCAAACGCTTCACGCTGTGCACGTTACAGACGTCACACGGGTGGGAGGAGCTCGTCTGTATTGAGGAAGTAAATGCGGAAGAGAAAATTATTTTGGGCACATGCACCATGGAGCACAGGCCACTCTTTACAGTTGTAGAGCCATCAATTTGCTTGTTTCGGTTGGCGATTTTACCTATTTTTAGATCATAAATCTCACTCAAAATCCTTAAGTTGTCTTAAAAAACGCTTTATAGCTCCGGCTCCGCTCTGCTCCGCTCTCGTTCCTCTTCCTCCTCGTGCATCACGTGATCGCTTTGACCAAGAGCATCAGTGATGCACGAGCCTTCGCGCTCCGTGCGTGTGTCACGTCGCTTTGCTGCGTGTGCCCATGGGACTGAAAAAGAGCACTACTGCGCATGCTCTCGTCGGCCCACAGCCACCGGACATACTAGCCTAGCCGGGCTAATCTAATCATGCGCCATTGAGCTCAGCCCATTGAATGGGACCTGAATGGGCACCTTGCATACCTGGAACCTTGGCTGAAAACATATGACATGCATCTTGGATTCACCTTCCAGAATTATAGAATCATGAGGCTAAAGGTTACCTTCCAGATTTTCAATATGTTCTATCCAGAAACCCAGGCATATCCTTTTATATTTCCCTTTCCTGCAAAATTTAAGTTAATATCTGCTTCTAGACATTCCACTTCCAGTTTTCCATTCCTCAAGGCTTCAGCGCAGTCACCTACTCTGTTCACTCCACCATTTTTACTCATCGAATCCAATCAACAGCACCGTCCAGAGCCTTTTCTTTCGACCTGTGACCCAGAATGCCGTCCGGCGATGTCTGAAAGGTCACGATTAACTCCCTGACACTTGACTTCCCAGTCTGAACGGTGAAGCGACTTCATGACGCGACTCTACCCACAGTTATCCTCGTCACGATTCTGCGCTCGAACCAATTGTTGAACTCCGTGCCTGAATGAAGTTCCACTCACAACTCTTGGCTACGTCCGTCTCCACATCCACACGTTCCTTTCAACAGACGTCGCTGCACTGCCCCACAACACCACGGCCAAAAACCTCGTCCTTCTCCTTCTCAATCTCCTCCTTAAAAAATAAGAAGTTGTTTGTTCTGGTTCTGGTACGAGAGGAGAACTTAAAATCTCCAATGCTCATGCTCGATGCTGCGTCCATGTTTGGACAACTTCTGTAAACACAGAGCACGCTCGCTGTTTTCGTCATCGTGTCCCGTCAGTGTCCATGTGTCACGGACACTTTCGGCCGTTTAATGTTCACACTGGAGTCACATAGAAGTCGCATTTAATTGGAAATGTGAAAATCGGAAAAAACATCGGATTTCACAAAAAAAACGTAATTGAGCGTTAAGCCCTGCAGTCTGAACGTAGCCATAGTCCCTCCAGCGTGTCGTGGGTCTTTCCCGGCGTCTCCTCCCAGTGGGACATGTCACGAACACCAGGAGGCAGACGCCCGAGCCACATCACCTGCTCCTCTCGACGTGGAGGAGCAGCGGCTCTACTCCGAGCTCCTCACCCTATCTCAGCCCAGCCACCCTGCGGAGGAACCTCATTTTGGACGCTTGTATCCGCGATCTCGTCCTTTCGGTCATTACCCAGAGCTCCTGACCATACGTGAGGGCAGGAACGTAGACTGAGCTTTGCCTTTCGCCTCAGCTCTAGAAATAGTTTTATTATTTGTTTTACTACGTTAAACTGTTATTGATCTGGACTTGGCTCGTGAGAAATTTCAATTTGAGACCTCAGTTCTAGTTGTATCATCCACCACTATCAAGGTTGTCAACAGGATGAGAAATTGTGACTGTTGCCATAGCGATTACTAATTCAAAACAGATATCTTTAGAATGGGCAAAGTTCCTTCAAAACAGAAATAGAAGAGGATGTTCAGTGTGGGGGGAAATGACCTCACCATATCAGAGTAAAATAAGACCTATTCATAAACTGGCTGATGCTCACAAGAAGTTGAGAGTCTGGTCCACGCTGCTCATGTTGACGGCCTGGATTTTCTTCCTGGTTGGGTCCACAGGCTCCGCCCCCCTGACCTCCTCTTCCTGTCGATCCGGCGCGTCGAACTCGTCTCCGCTCTCCACCACCTCTCCATTCGGGCTGAGCAAAAAACACAGATGAAAAAACCAAACCAAAAATGAAATTGTCTCCAAAACTAAAATGAAAAAACAGATAACAATTTGGTTTTTTCAGTTTTTGATTTGGTGTTTAAATGAATAATGGAAAAAAAAAAAAAACAGATAACGGTCGTTTCCTTCTTCCGTGACTAAAACTGCGATGCCAGACATTTGCACCCCATACGGACTGAACCAGGACTAAACCAGGACTAAACCAGGACTAAACCGTTTTCAGTCCTGGTCTCAGTTCCGGCCTAAGTCCTGGTCTGGTCCCGGCCTCAGTCCTGGTCTCAGTTCTGGTCTTAATCCTGTTCTGGTCACAGTCTCAGTCCTGGTCTGGTCCTGGTCTAATCACAGTCTCAGTGCTGGTCTGGTCCTGGTCTGGTCCCGGCCTCAGTCCTGGTCTCAGTTCCGGTCTAAGTCCTTGGTCTGGTCCTGGTCTGGTCACAGTCTCAGTCCTGGTCTGGTCCTTGTCTGGTCACAGTCTCAGTCCTGATCTTGTCCATGGTCTGGTCCTGGTCTGGTCCTGGTCTCAGTCCTGGTCTGGTTCTGGTCTGGTTGGACCTCTTTTAGTCCTGGTTCAGTCCATATGTGGCGCAAAAGTCCAGCATCGCAGTTTTAACTCACGGAAACGGGAAACGGTCGTTATCCATTTTTTCCATTATTCATTTAAACACAAAATCGAAAAATTTTAAAAACAATCATTATCCGAGACAAATAATGAAAAAAATTGTTTTTTAGTTTTCTTATTTTTGATTTTATTTTGAAAAACGAATGAGCGTATGACACATGGATTTGTGTGATCTGTGCTTTTTGAACCGGACTCACCCAAAGTAACTGGATTTGAAGCTTTTGAAGAAAAACCCAAAGCAGCACATGGCCAGGAACGCAATTAACTTTGGAGATGCGAGTTTCCTGAAAAAAATAAGACAAATTATGTTAAAAAAAAAAACTTTTCTGAGCTTTTTTTTTAAACCATTTCACATCAGTGTTCCCTCTTCATGATCTTACTCAGAGTTCTGTTTATTGACTTGCGCATGTCTGAGTGATCCTGTGTTGTTTTGCGTTTGTGGCTTGAGTGCTCAGAAAATTTCAGTTTTCACCCACCCCCTATCTCCACCCACTGCTAAACAAAAAATTCTAAACTGTCACATTTTCAACAGTAAAAAAATGTCACTGAAAATCACTGCTTCAAGTCAATGGACTAGTTTCAATCCGTGCATCATTTGTTCATTCGTTTTTCAAAATAAAACCAAAAGTAAGAAAACAAAAACTATTTTCTTCATTATTTGTCTCAGAAAACCAAAATGAAAAAAATGGATAACAATTTTTCGATTTTGTGTTTAAATGAATAATGGAAAAAACGGATAACAGCTGTTTCCCGTTTCCTTAACTTAAACTGGAGACGCCGGACTTTTGCGCCGCATGTGAACTGAACCAGGACTGGACCAGGGTTAAAGTAGGACTAAACAGGACTGAAACAGGACTGAAACAGGACTGAACACGGACTGAACAGGACTGAACAGGACTGAAACAGGACTGAACAGGACTGAACTGAACAGGACTGAAAACTGAAACAGGACTGAAACAGGACTAGGACTGAACAGGACTGAACAGGACTGACTGAAACAGGACTGAACACAGGACTGAACAGGACTGAACACGGACTGAAACAGGACTGAACACGGACTGAAACAGGACTGAAACAGGACTGAACACGGACTGAAACAGGACTGAACACGGACTGAAACAGGACTGAAACAGGACTGAAACGGACTGGACTGAACAGGACTGAACAGGACTGAGGACACAGGACTCAGGAAACACGGACTGACTGAACACGGACTGAAACAGGACTGAAACAGGACTGAACAGGACTGAACGGACACAGGGACTGAAACAGGACTGGGACTGAAACAGGACTGAACAGGACTGGACTGAACAGGACTGAAACAGGACTGAACACGGACTGACTGAACAGGACTGACTGAACAGGACTGAAACAGGACTGAACACGGACTGAAACAGGACTGAACAGGACTGAAACAGGACTGAACACGGACTGAAACAGGACTGAACACGGACTGAAACAGGACTGAACACGGACTGAAACAGGACTGAACACGGACTGAAACAGGACTGAACAGGACTGAACACGGACTGAAACAGGACTGAACACGGACTGAAACAGGACTGAACACGGACTGAAACAGGACTGAACACGGACTGGACTGAAACAGGACTGAACATGGACTGAAACAGGACTGAACAGGACTGACACGGACTGAAACGGACTGAACATGGACTGAACACGGACTGAAACAGGACTGAACACGGACTGAAACAGGACTGAACACGGACTGAAACAGGACTGAACACGGACTGAACACGGATTAAACCAGGACTAAACCAGGACTCAGGACTGAACCAGTAGGACTAAACCAGAACTGAAGTAGGACTGAACCAGGACTAAACCAGTACTTGAGACAGAGAGACCCCGACCCCGTGGAGCAGGGTGTCCGCAAAGCGCAATTGGACGATGGCTGCGCATAGCCAGACACTCCTGGTTCAGTCCTGGTTCAGTCCTGGTTCAGTCCTGGTTCAGTCCTGGTTCAGTCCAAATGTGGCGCAAAAGTCCAGCATCTCCAGTTTTCATCGTAGATTCATGGTCAAAATTGAAACGGGAAACAAATCATCATTTTTTTTCATTAGAAAATAGTTGTTTTTTTCATTTTCTTACTTTTGGTTTGGTTTTGGTTTAGTTATTTTGAAAAACTAATGAACGAATGATACACGGATTCAGTTTCCATTATTATAATTATTATTTTATTATTATAATGTCAGTATTGTAGGTTATATTTAATAGAATGTAGAATTATGATCTACACCTATGTTACAAATTAAAGCCACAGTGTGTAATGTTTCACCCTAAAGAATAGACCAAAAAGCATGCACATATCCCTTCTCTGAGCGGGCTTGCATTTCCACAAACCTGACTCTTATTTAGCCTGGATAAGGGCCTCTTCCTGCTTGTTTGTTTCCATAGAAATGTTGTTTGTTTTAAAGATGCACTGTGTAACTTTTCTGGTAGAAGATCCATCAAATGCTTTTCTCCTTTGCGATGTTATTGCTTTGTCTGGAATGTTTCACAGTACGGCATTAAACCTTTCTATCTTCATAGACCAAACCTGACCAAGTTACAGGTCAGATCTGTGGAGAGGAGGTCCCGCTCACAGTCAGAATGTCGTTTTTTCCTAGGTATTTTTGAGCTGTAAAGCCACCTGTAATTGAATAAATACAATGTCGAACTATTTAATGTCACACTGCGGAACATTCCAGACAACGCAATGACATCTCCATAGAAACAAGCAGGTGAAAAGTTACACAATGCACCTTTAAGTGCGCTTTTAACTTCTTATTTTCATGAATCGTACAGTTAACAAATTGTCTACAAAAGAACTCATAGGCTTCTAAAATAAAAAAAGGTGCATTATGTAACTTTTTCTAGTGCCAGCTGCTTGTCTCCATGGAGATGTTACTGGTTTGAATGAAATGTTCCATAGTGTGGCCAAGTTACAGGTCAGATCTGTGGAAAGGCGACGCCGCTCACAGTTAGAACGTCTGTTTTTCTAGGTATTTTTGAGCTATAAAACCACCTGGATTTGAATAAATACAATGTCGAACTGTTTAATGTCACACTGCGGAACATTCCAGACAAAGCAATGACATCTCCATAGAAACAAGCAGGTGAAAAGTTACACAATGCACCTTTAAGTGTGCTTTTAACTTGAATCGTACCGTTAACAAATGTTCTACAGAAGAACTCATAGGCTTCTAAAATAAAAAAGGTGCATTATGTAACTCTTTCTAGTGCCAGCTGCTTGTCTCCATGGAGATGTTACTGGTTTGAATGAAATGTTCCATAGTGTGGCCAAGTTATAGGTCAGATCTGTGGAGAGGCGACGCCGCTCACAGTCAGAATATTTGTTTTTCTAGGTATTTTTGAGCTATAAAACCAGCTGTAGTAACCAATTCTATAAATGTAAAGTAGAGCTGTTTAATGTCACACTGCGGAACATTCCAGACAACGCAATGGCATCTCCATAGAAACAAGGAGGTGAAAAGTTACACAATGCACCTTTAAGTGCGCTTTTATCTTCTTATTTTCATGAATCGTACAGTTAACAAATTGTCAACAAAAGAACTCATATGCTTGTATTTTAAAGGTGCATTATGTAACTTTTGCAGTGTCTCCATGGAGATGTTACTGGTTTGAATGAAATGTTCCATAGTGTGGCCAAGTTACAGGTCAGATCTGTGGAGAGGCGACGCCGCTCACAGTCAGAATGTTTGTTTTTCTAGGTATTTTTGAGCTGTAAAACCACCTGTAGTAACCAGTTGTATAAATGTACAATGTCGAGCTGTTTAATGTCACACTGCGGAACATTCCAGACAAAGCAATGACATCTCCATAGAAACAAGCAGGTGAAAAGTTACACAATGCACCTTTAAGTGTGCTTTTAACTTCTTATTTTCATGAATCGTACAGTTAACAAATTGTCAACAAAAGAACTCATATGCTTGTATTTTAAAGGTGCATTATGTAACTTTTGCAGTGTCTCCATGGAGATGTTACTGGTTTGAATGAAATGTTTCGTAGTGTGGCCAAGTTACAGGTCAGATCTGTGGAGAGGCGACGCCGCTCACAGTTAGAACGTCTGTTTTTCTAGGTATTTTTGAGCTATAAAACCACCTGGATTTGAATAAATACAATGTCAAACTGTTTAAAGTCACACTGCGGAACATTCCAGACAAAGCAATGACATCTCCATAGAAACAAGCATGTGAAAAGTTACACAATGCACCATTAAGTGCGCTTTTAACTTGAATCGTACCGTTAACAAATGCTCTACAAAAGAACTCATAGGCTTCTATATTAAAGGTGCATTGTGTAACTTTTGCAGTGTCTCCATGGAGATGTTACTGGTTTGAATGAAATGTTCCGTAGTGTGGCCAAGTTACAGGTCAGATCTGTGGAGAGGCGGCCGCACTCACAGAAAGTTACGCCATATAAACACCGAATGTAAAAACTGAATAAACCCGAGATGGATTTAATGTCGTACTGGTAAAAAAAAAAAATCACCATGGAAACAGACGTGCAGCAGACCCACCCCAACAGAAATGTTACATAATGCGCAATTAAGTTTAATTAATGCCTGGCAAGTAGTAATTTATTAATTTTCTGTTTTTGTTCTTGAGATAAAATACTTCTATCGGTATGTTGATTAAACACTAGTAGACATTTAATTACTTCATTACACCTTTAATAATACATTTTTACAATTGTTTATCAGCTTAATCCAAGTACACAGGCACTAACCTCATGTTCAAAGTGTCTCGTCCAACGAAAACAACCAACTCCTCCAACCTGAAATCAAACAAAAAACACTTTTAACAAGGTCCGTTCGTAAGCAATATAAAAACAGGCTCGTATTTCCAGTATTTAGTTAAAGATGCATTGTGTAACTTTTCCGGTGGAGGTCCCGTCAAGTGTTTTTCTCCGTTACTTTGTCTGGAATGTTTCACAGTGTGGAATTAAATCTTTATATCTCCACGGAGACCAAACCGGACCAAGCCACAGGTCAGATTTTGTTATTTCTGAGCCGTAAAACCACCTGTAATTGAATAAATGTAAGGTAGAGCTGCTTAAAGTCACACTGCGGAACATTCCATTGCAAAGCAGAAACAAGCAGGTGACGGATCCAACGCCAGAAAAGTTACACAATGCGCCTGTGTCCTGTTTTGCCCCATGTATTTGAGCAAAACGTGAGCTCAGAATAAGACCTCTGTGTGCTGTCTGCGTCTGTTTACGAGGATTTTATTGTCAAATGATCAGGAAGTGAATGTTAGCATGCTAGTTGTTATTAGTTTTACCGTCACGGCAAAACTCCACTGTCTGAAAGTTGTGAAAATCGCTTCTAAACTCATCACGGCGAATAAGTAGGATGCTCTGAAGCGAGGAAAAATGTTGGGCCACTGCAAATGAAATCGTTTTGTTTTTCACGTATTAAAAGACACTAAAAATATCAGGTACATTCCCTTTTAAAACTGGTTTAGCTTGTATTTTGTAGAGTAGAGTCTGTTTACTCACACAGAGTCAATCCGTGTGTCATTCGTTCATTCATTTTTCAAATTTGACTTAAACCACTGTCATAATGGAAATACCAGATCTAAACCAGGACTCTAATCCGTGTATCATTCATTCGTTTTTCAATATAAAACCAAAAATAAGAAATGAAAAAACAACTGTTTTCTTCATTATTTGTCTCCAAAACCAAAATGAAAAAACAAATAAAGATTCGTTTTTTCAGTTTTCAATTTTGTGTTTAAATGAAGAATGGAAAAAAACGGATAATGTTTCCCGTTTACGTGACGTCCGTGACTGCGATGCACCGCAAACGAACTGAACCAGGACTGATCCAGGTCCTGGACCACACCGGGACCAGAGCAAGACTGAGACAGAGACCAGACCGGTACCGAGACCAGAGCGGGACCAGAGCGGACTCCAGAGTGGACGCCGAACTTTGACTCCGAGCCTCTGCGGGGTCCGAGCCTCAACTTCGAGCTCCTGAACTGCTGTGGGTTCTGAGCCTCCAGTCTGGTCCCTGTCTGGTCTCGGCCTGGTCTCAGTCTCAATCCCGGTCTCAGTCTCGGTCTGTTGTTTTTTCATTTTCTTATTTTTGGTTTTATATTGAAAAACGAATGAATGATACACAGATTAGAGTCCTGGTTTAGATCTGGTATTTCCATTATGTCAGTGATTTAAGTCACACGAGTTTAGTCCTGGTTTGGTCCTGGTTTAGTCCTGGTTTAGACCTGGTTTTAGACCTGGTTTTAGTCCTGCTTTAATCCTGGTTTGGTCCTGGTTTAGTCCTGGTTTAGACCTGGTTTTAACCTGGTTTAGACCTGGTTTTAGACCTGGTTTAGACCTGGTTTTAGACCTGGTTTAAGACCTGGTTTTAGACCTGGTTTAGACCTGGTTTAGACCTGGTTTAGACCTGGTTTTAGACCTGCTTTTGTCCTGGTTTAGACCTGGTTCAGACCTGGTTTTAGTCCTGCTTTATTCCTAGTTAGTCCTAGTTTATTCCTAGTTTAGACCTGGTTTAGACCTGGTTTAGACCTGGTTTTAGATCTGGTTTAGACCTGGTTTAGTGTCCAGCAATGAGTGGACTTACTGGAAAAAAAAAAAAAAAAAAAAAAAAAGGGGATATAGCCCCAAATGTAAAAACAGGAAAATACCGCCGTGTAATCCATTTATTTCAACAAAGTAACTGTAATCCAATTACCACTCACTGAAACAGTAACTGTAACTGAATACAGTTACTCATAATTTGTACTCTGATTACGTAACTCCAGTACTTGTAATCTGTTACTCCCCAACACTATATACAAGACCCACACATCACTCTTGGAAGGTAGAAAGTTCTGAGAAGTTGATTTTACAGGAGATGGGCCCTTTAAAAAAACAGTGATGAGATCTGCATTATTAAACATTATTATCATTGATAACAGCGCCACATACAGGTGTGGTATGTGTATTACATCGTTTTCACTCAGTGCTCCGCTGTCGTCCGGACGTGTGTGGACGCAAATTTTTTTCAACCCGCAATAAAAGCCCCCAAAAAACCCCCAGGAGTGTTGTGGTGTGGGCGCGGCCTAAAACTCCAGACAGGACAAACTAGTCTGTCAAACCTGTCAACAGCTCCTCCTCCAGAGACGCGTGACACTTTGACACTCTTTTGTTTTAAAGGTGCCAAACTGGTCATTAAAGCATTTTATCAGTATGCATTAAAAACAAAAATAAAAAAGGTATGAAGGCACAACAGGTCGTCTCCGTACTCTCAGAACATGCACATTTAACAAAACACATACCAAGATTTAAAATATATGATCAATAATAGCTTTTAACAATTCTTTAATATTAATATGTAAAAATTGTGCGCTGTCCCTGTCTAAAAAAATAATAATAAAAAATAAATAAATATAAATATAAAATAAAATAAATAATTAATAATAATATATAATAATAATAAATATAATAATAATAATAATAATAATAATAATAATAATAAATAAATCAGTTTTCCTGGTGATACATCTTTAAATAAGTGCCTTGCAAATTTTAAAAGATTAATATTTGCAAATTTTTTATGCTCATCTTCCAATTTATTCCATAATTGTACTTGCACTTAGCCATTTGTCCAATAGTTGTTCTTACTTTTACTTTTTTTAATTTATTTTTTTTATTTAACTCCCTTCGTCCAAATCGCCCTTGTCTCTCTTTGAATATATTTTAAAAGTTGCTTGGTATTACCTTGTTTATTCCATGCTTTATACATTATCAGAGCAGTTTTATGTTTTACTAAATCAAATAACTTTAAGACTTTTACCTTTTAAAAACTAAACAACAAGATCCACATACATCAGGTCCGTTGAAAGTAAATATGAACTAGTCTTGGCATTTTGAAATTTTTTTGCCATTGTGTGCACGATATGAAACTATTTCCAACAAACTGTGAGAGTATATTTGTGGGGCTATAAAAATTATTACAAAACACGATAAAGAAAGATCATTTTTAGAAACTGGCTGCAGAGTCATAGTCAGGCTGGTGCCACCTAGTGCCTCCACTCAGTTTCATTTCTCTCCAGCGACTAGGTCAGGAATCAGAATACACTAGATCAGGAGTGTCAAACATACGGCTCGGGGGCCAGATCCGGCCCTCCAAGACCTTTAATCTGGTCCTCGGCTGATTTTCTACTAAAATATTTTAATTATATTTTCTATTAAAATATTGGTAATTTTCTGCTGTGTTTCTCCAGCGTCTCTGTACGTGGCTCCTCCCACCAGAGCAGCACAAATGAAGACTTGTTCTCTTTCCAAACGCTCTTAAAGGACGATCGTTTTGACTGTTGACCGTGACAACCTCATCAAAAAATGTCAGAAATGAGAAAAAATTGGAGCCGAGTGCAAGATTTTCCAAGAAAAACTAACTTATTCCTATTTACATACAAGTTATTGTTAAAACATTGTGTTGAAACTGTATTTTTCTTAAAGTTTCAGGTTGTTCATAATATTATAATATTCTGTAAAAGAAAAGAGTTCATCAATTAAAAAAGATTTCTGTAATAGATTTGCATTTCTCTGCACAATTATTTGAACTTATTGCTATTTTTGGGGTTTATATGCGGCCCCCGGACCAAAATGAGTTTGACACCCCTGCATTAGACGGTTCGCAAAAACCCCGGAAGTTGTAGACCGCACACCGGCCAATTAAGAAGAGACAGACATTCTGTGTTGCCAACGATTCCTGAGACCGAGGATTTAAAGCTGGAACAAAGAGAATGTTTGGTGAATTTTATCAAGGGGAAAGATGTTATTGCTCTTCTTCCTACGGGATTTGGCAAATGCTCAATATACCTGTTAGTTAGATTACATACGTCACGACCAAATAACAGTGATTGGTTAAATAAAAAAAAGTACCCGCCTACTATCGAGCAAACGAATCCTAATGCTGCGAGGTCAGACAGTTTCCACGAAGTGAAACGGGCTACCAACTCACAACACTACAATAAAAAAGAAAGAAAATTAACCAAAGTATACAAAACAAAAATCTTGCACACATTGCTCACTGACTGCTGATATAAGAAATGAAAAAGTGCCCTACAGAATATTCTTCCCACTGGACTCTACGACTTTAGACTGTAAAGCTCTTGTTCAGTTTGAGCAGGAGTTGATTTTCAAAGTTTGTAGCGCTAATCCGTGCTTCCTCCGCTTCCTTTCATTTCCAGCTGACATTTCTTTTTTTTTTCTCTATCAGGGCCTGTTTACATGAGAACGTTTGCGGATAAAACCAACAAAATATTTTATCGGAAGTGACTTTTGTTTAGATGGTGACAGCGTTTTTGGGGCTTAAAAATGCAAAAATCTGAAACCACCCTCCAGAGTGGAACAGTTGAATACACTTTGCTGCAGTGTTTCCTGTCTACACTGCCCAAGACGCAAAACTCTGCTCACGTCGCGTACACGTTTACGTCTTAAACATACAGTACACAGAAACCTGGCATGCTCAATCAATCCAATTCCACACACTTTTGCGTCACCGTATGCGCGCAGATTTCCTTCTGAAAACGCTCATCTAAACGCGGAATGTCAAGGGTTCTTCCGAAATAAATGTAAAGAAATAATGGCTCAGTCAAAAAAACTTTACTTAAGTGCGTTTTTATTCACACCACAGCTCAAAGTGCAGAGTGGAATATTTACAGTGAAAAATGAGGTGGTAGAGTCCAACAAAAAAAGAAGTATTTACAACAATATTTACAGCAATCGCACTTAGAGAAGCGACTGTGAAGCCCAAAAAAAAAAAAAAGTGAAGCCACTTTTGCGTCTTCTGTTCAGACCGTCGTCATATAGACGTAGCGTCAGTCTGATTTTACTCAGTGACGAGGGTGGGTTCCAATGTAATGAAGTAAAAGACTTGGGTCAAAATGTACTTGAGTAAATGTAAAATGACCCATTTCAAAAACTACTTTAAAAATTACAAATTATTCACAAAAACCACTCAATTACAGTAACGTGAGTAAATGTAATCTGTTGCTTTCCACTCTTGGTTAAATGCAAACAGTGGACAGATTCTAGAGCACAAATACACAGGGCCATTTCACTCTGAGCTGTGATTTTGTGTTTACTTCTGATCAGACGAACATGGTAAAATGCAAAACATCTTATTTCCCTGATGTGTTCGGGCGGCACGACTTCCTCCTGCGTCAGACGAGTCACAGTCTGTCAGAATTCAGAGTCATCATTCAGCCCCTCTTCATGTGTGTTTTCATCGGTGTCCCACAAGGATCAGGTCTAGGCTCAGTGCTCTTTTCCCTGTAACTGCCCCCCTCCAGTTTGTAGATGATCTTATTTTGAAGAATAGTCTAAGTGGAGGCGACGACTTGAACAGAAAATAGAGATTTATGTATTTGTGTTGACCGGGTCACGGGGGGGGGGCATTTACAGACCAGGTCACTAGAGGGACAGTTATAGGTCGGGTCACTAGTGGGGCAGTTACAGACATGATCACAAGGGTGGGAATTACAGACGAGGTCACTACGGGGGCATCTACAGACTGGGTCACTAACAGGGCACTTACAGACCGGGTCACTGCGGGGGAGTTACAGACCAAGTCACTAGAAGGGCATTTGTAGACCGGATCACTAATGGGGCATTTACAGACCGGGTCACGAACAGGGCAATTACAGGTCGGGTCACTAGGGGGAAGGAATTACAAACCAGGTCACTAGGGGGGTATTTACAGACCTGGTCATGAGGGAGGCAGTTACAGACCGGGTCACTAGAGGGAGAATTACAGATCGGATCACGAGGGGTGTAATCACAGATTGGGTCACTAGGGGGGCAGTTGCAGACCTGGTCACTGGGGGGGGGAATTGCAGATCGAGTTACTAGGGGGGCAGTTACAGGCTGGGTCACTAAGAAGGTAATCACAGACCAGGTCACTAGGGGGGCAGTTATAGGTCGGGTCACTAGTGGGGCATTTACAGACTGGGTCACAAGAGGGAGAATTACAGATTGAAACACGAGGGGTGGAATTACAGACTGGGTCACTAAGAGGGTAATCACAGACCAGGTCACTACGTGGGCAGTTATAGGTTGGGTCACTAGGGGGGCAGTTACAGACCGGGTCACTAACTGGGCAGTTACAGACTGGGTCACTGGGGGGCAGTTACAAACCGGGTCATGAGGGTGTGAATTATAGACGAGGTCACTAGGGGAGCATCTACAGACTGGGTCACTAGGAGGGTAAACGCAGACTGGGTCACTAACGGGGCAGTTACAGATCGGGTCAGTAGGGGGCAATTAAAGGGGACTGCATAACCGTCAGAATTCAGCCTGTATTCAGTCACTCTCCGCTTGTGTTTCCGACGGGGTCCCACAAGGATCGATTCTGGGCCCAGCGCTCTTTTCCCTGTACGTCGACGATCTCCCAGCGATCCGTCCCAAAATCCACGCTCAACTATTTGCAGACGACATCGTGAAATCCACACGAGGCAACAGCACCTCACGAGTCCTCACAGTTTACGGTTCATGTCCCAAACTGGTGAGACGAGTCTGGTCTACAGCTCAATGTAAATAAAATCCAGTCCCACTAGTGTAAAACCTGCCGTCTTCGTGTCGGCCTGAACCTCGACAAAAATACCTCGGAGTCCAGACAGACACAAGTTTAACGTTTAAAATTACGAGTACTGGAAGGATGTAACAGTAAAATTGTACCGTTTCATCAAACCTCAGCTGGAACGATCTACACGCGATAAATACCCGGTCACATGCAAACGTCGCTCCCCTCAAACCACCACATCAGTCACACAAAAAAACAATAAAAACACCAGTCCATGAGCATCACTGTACGATATTAAAAAGTACTTATAAACCCTAACACGGTTTAACTATGACAGTATTGCAAAAAAGAACAGCAACTTTGCATTTACAATTTCACTTGCGACTTACTGAGACAAAATTTAAATTAAAACAAACAAAACTGAATGCGTACACTGGAAAAAACAATATCTAAGTGAGTTAAAATGACTTAAATTAAGAAGATTTTGCTTTATTTGAGTTGATTCAACATCTACCAATGGAATAAATGTGCTTTTCTTAATTTGACATTTGATTTTGTTTCTTATTTTAAGTGCAAAAAGTTGTTATTTTTCTTATTTAAGTGCAGCAAAGTGGTATTTTCATATTTTAAGTACAAAAGTCTTATTCCACTGGCAGATATTTTTACTTTTGAAGAGAAATTTACTCAAATTGTGATGACAATTTCTTAATTTAAATCATTTTAACTTAGAGACTTAGCCAGATTTTGTTTTTGAAGCTTAATTCATTCATTCCAGAGCTATATATCTTTCAAAATATAAAGCTTTTTCTTAATTTGACATTTGATTTTGTTTCATATTTTAAGTAAAAAAAATGTTGTTTTTCTTATTTTAAGTCTAGCAAAGTGTATTTTCATATTTTAAGTACAAAAAGTGTTGTTCCACTGGCAGATATTTTTACTTTTTAAGAGAAATGTACTCAAATCGTGATGCAACTTTCTTAATTTAAGTCATTTTAACTTAGAGACTTGACTAGATTTTGTTTTTGAAGTGTAATTAATTCATTCGAGAGCTCTAAAACCTTCAAAATATAAAGCTTTATACCGTTTTTTTTTAAAGGTTTGTACAGGGTTAGACTTTTTCAAATCAGCTCAAGCAGAAATACAATCACTTTTTTCTTAGTTTTTATCTTCACACATATATTTTTTGCAGTATCTATGAAAGAAATTCGTTTTTGAGAGCAATATAAATCAACAAACCTTTCAGAATAAGAAGAAAACGTGTCGACTTTACCTGTTTGAGATGGGATCCTCCTTTCCTCGTCTCCTCTGGACTGATCTGGTCTGCCGTCTGCTTCCAGTCTCGTTCCTCTTTCACCACGCCCACAATCACATCTTTTGTCTCTGAGCATTTCACTGAAAGGGCCTCTTCTTTCCAAAAGCCACACGACCTGATTTTCAAACCACAAAAGGCAGATGAGACGTGGAGAGAAACTTCACAGGAATGAAACTCTGGGTCCTAGTTTAAAGAGGAGGTGTTGTATTTCAGTCAATACATATTAAGATCACTTTGTTACGTTTTATTGTTTTGAAAATGCTCTACTGGCTAAAAAACAATTCTCCTCTGTCTTTCTTTCTTTCTTTCTTCTCGCTTTCTTATCTTTTTTTATTTTAATATGTTGTACACTGCAAAAAACACAATCTAGTCAAGTTAAGACGACTTGAATTTAAAAAGTCTGACCATGATTTGAGTAAATTTCACTTGACAAGTAAAATGATCTGCCAGTGGAACAAGACTTTTTGTACTTAAAATATGAAAATACATCTTAAAATACACTTAAAATAAGAAAAACAACAAAAAAAATTTAGTATTGTCTGACTTAAGAAAAACACACTTATTCCATTGGTAGATAATTTTACTTGTTAAGTTGAATTGACTCAGTTTATTTATTTATTTTTTTCCCAGTGTATGTCTTTATTAGATTTTTTCTTTTCTTTCATTTGTTGTTTTTCTGAAAATTAGGAAAATAAATGTATAAAAATGTTTGTCTCCATGGAAATGTTATTACACTACAAAAAACTAAAATCTATAGTCAAGTTAAAATTACTTGAATTAACAAAGTTTGACCATGATTTGTGTAACTTTCACTTGAAAAGTAAAATTTTTGTACTTAAAATATGAAAATACATCTTGCTACACTTAAAATAAGAACATCTTAACAACTTAACATTAGAAACAAAATTGAATGTTGCTTGAATTAAGAAAAACACACTTATTCCATTGGTAGATAATTGTAACCAGGCTGGTGCCACCTAGTGCCTCCGCTCAATTTCATTCTCCAGCGACTAGATCAGGAATCGGAAAACACTAGACGTTTTGCAGGAACCCCGGAAGTTGTAGACCGCACACCGGCCAATCAGAGAAGAGTTGTGAAGCCATGACGTCAAACTCTAGCGCCTGTCTGTGTCCCTTTTGTGGCACAACGCAACAGTAAACAAATCAGTCGAGATGGATGTAGATGAAGACAGACATTCTGTGTTGGCAACGATTCCTGAGATCGAGGATTTAAAGCCGAAACAAAGAGAATGTTTGGTGAATTTTATAAAGGGGAAAGACGTTATTGTCCTTCTTCCTACGGGATTTGGTGCATTACATACGTCACGACCAAACAGCAGCGATTGGTTAAATAAAAAAAGTACCCGCCTACCGTCGAGTGAACAAATCCTAATGCTGCGAGGTCAGACGGTTTCCACAAAGTGAAACCGGCTGATGAATCATACTAATTGTAATAATTGTACTTGTCAATTTGAAATGTTCTTAATTTAAGTCATTTTTAACTTAACTAGATTTTTTTTTTTTTTTTCCTGTGTACGTTTTTGTTTGTTTTTCTTTTCTATCGTTCATTGTTTTTCTGAAAACAATGAAAATACCTTTAAAAAGCAAAACAAAACAAACAAAACAATGTCTTAAAGGTGTGTAACTTTTCCACCACCTGTTTATCTTTGTCTAGAATGTTCAACAGTACAGATTAAATATACAGATCTATCACGAAGCAGAATACCACAAGCACTATGTCACGTTACGATTAAGATCTGTGGAGAGGCGCCTCTATTCACAGAAGGAAGTGCTGTATTTTTGAGCAATAAAAACACCCGTAATGAAGAAATGCTTGCTGGAAGTGTTTAAAATTGTATAGTGGAACATTCCGGTCAAAGCAATAACTTCTCAGAGGAGACAAAGAGGAAGCAATGCACCTTTAAAATGTTTAACAAGTTTCAGTTTCGTCAGTCCCCCTTCAGACGGACAGGACCGTAAAGAGAACTGTAAGTAGGGTTTAAACAGGGCCTGGGACAGATCGCTAAAATACTCAGACATTTCACATTTTAAATAATAATAATAAAATAAGTGTTATTGGTAAACATAAAATAATCAAAAGGACAAAGGTGACATAATCATTTTTGTGTAAGTTGGTCCTATATTACGCAGAATTGACCATCGAGTGAGTTTTAAGTCATGTTATAATGTTGTTGCCTCGTCAAAAACAGATCTGGATGTTTGAGTAACACTTTATTAGACAGACTTGCAGTAATAAAGAGTTACTCAAACATGTGTGAATGAAACAAAACACAACTCACACAGCTTAAAGTACAATCCTCCCGATCATTGACGATGGAGACCGAGTTTACAGATCTGCATTAAAAAACACTGCGCCATCTGCTTTGACACAGGTGCACCATTCACCACCATCACTGCACACTTTACTCTGTGGTGAAGTGACCCTCTCTCCACATCCAGAGACAAACCCACTGGTTACTGTTCATTTATAAATGTTTAATTGGTAAAGCTCACTCCTGCACATCCACAGCTCCAGACACACACTGCGCTCCAACATGTACATAACCCTGGTTGTTCCTAAAGCCGCACAGCTTTGGGCCGCTCCTCATTTCAGTTTTCTGCAGCAAGTGACTGGAACCACCTTCAGCTTTAAAACTTAGTTCGTTTTTACCTCTGTCGACTTTTAAAAACTCCATCCAGAGTATTTTAAAGGACAATTGCACGTTTTTAACACTTTTATATCTTTAATCTGCAGTTGTTTCACTGTCTTCTATCTCTATTCACTGTTTCATGTTATAGATCACAGGTGTCAAACATACGGCCGGGGGGTGATTTTCTACTAAAATATTTTAATTACATTTTCTATTAAAATATTGGTAATTTTCTGCGGTGCTTAGCATAGCAGCGTCTCCAGCGTCTCTGTACGTGGCCCCTCCCACCAGAGCAGCACAAATGAAGACTTGTCTCTTTCCAAACGCTCTTAAAGGACGATCGTTTTGACTGTTGACCGTGACACCCTCATCAGAAAAATGTCCAACATGAGAAAAGTGGAGCCGACTGCAGGATTTTCCAAGAAAAATTGACTTATTCCTATTTGCATACAAGTTATTGTTAAAACTTTGTGTTGAAATTTAATTTTTCTTCAAGTTTCAGGTTTATTCATACTATTATAATATTATAATAAAAAAGAGTTCATCAATTAAAAAAGATTTCTGTAATAGATTTGCGTTTCTCTACACAAATATTTGAACTTATTGTTATTTTTGGGGTTTATATGACATGAGTTTTCTGATCCGGCCCCTTTAGGATCAAAGTCGGTTGGAAACGGCCCCCGGACCAAAATGAGTTTGACACCCTGTTATAGATGATGTGTGAGTGTTTTCTGTTTGTGCCTCTTGGCCAGGCCGTCATTGTAAATGAGAAGGTGTTCTCAACTGACTTACCTGGTAAAATACTGAATAAATAAATTAAATAAAAATAAACTCCAGGTTTTTTTTTTTTTTTTTTTTGGAGGTAACAACATTATAACAAAAAAAAGGAAAGAGATTCACACTGCAGTTCTGTGAAGCTCCCAAATTTTTATTTCAGTGACACCACAATGTGATGTTTCGAGACCTTCTTCATCCATTATCCATCCAAAAAGGCTTGGCTCGAAATGTCACATTGTGGTGTCACTGAAATAAAAATCTGGGAGCTTCACAGAACTGCAGTGCGAATCTCTTTCCTTTTTTTGTACTATTGTTGTCTTTGGACCCAGCACACAGTCGCAGTTTTTGCTGGATGTACATGTCTCTATCTACCAGTAAGGTAACAACATTATAACATGACTTTAGAATGATTTGTAGAATTTTCTGAGTTTCATCTTCATCCCTAAAAGACCTGTTTGGAGGTTTCCCTGAGTTTAGACTGGCTTTTCTCATTTATAAGCTGCATCTCCTGTTTTTCTTTCATTTGTGTTCGTGTCTTTCCTGATCTATGTGAAGCGTCTTTGAGTGTCATGAAAAGCGCCATAGAAGTATTTGTTATTATCATTATCATGTTTATTATTCTAAAACTTAGTGGACAGCTATAGACACATCAAGAATCTCGGACTTCCCGTCATTGTGCAATTCATACTGTGAAGGATTCTCCGAAAAAGTGAACATCAAACCGCCATGTTTGTTTTCCCAGTGGGATGTGTCTGTTGTTAAAGTCGATCTTTTCAAGTCTTTTGAACAATATCGCTTTTGTTTCTGGTTCTGATATTGTCATATTTTAGTTTTGGAATACGGACATTATAATTGTGTGGTTGTTGGATCCTAACAGCGGAAAATGACTCAAGAAATGTGTTTGCGAACTCCATAAATGTAAAAGGGAATCAGATGTGTGTGACTGCAAACCTCCGTTCAAACTGTTTCCCTTTCCAACGGAATTGAAAAATAGTGAAAGGTGAAGGGGATGGGCAGGATTGATCCACAGGAAGGACCAAAAAGGAAACTTTGACTGTCTAAATCATCCAGAGTTTGTAGCGAACATTTTGTATGTGGAGCCAACAAAGTAAAATCCCGATCCTTCACTCAACCTCGGTTACAAATTTAAAAAGTCAACGCCAAAGCGAAAAGCACCAACTGTTCACCAAGAAACACCTTCCACTGCAAAGAGACCAAGACGTGATGTTGCTGTAAAACCACAAGAACAAGAAAGTGCAGCTCAGTCTGTTTGTCTTCTGTACCTCTCGATTAACAAACAGGATCCCGCTTTGTTGGCGCTCCACATAAAAAATTTTCACTGTAAACTCGGGATGATTTAGGCAGTCAAATGTTTCCTTTTTCGTCCTTCCTGTGGATCAATCCTGCCCATCGCCTTCACCTTTCACTATTTTTCAATTGCGTTGGGAAGAGAAACAGTTTGAACAGAGGTTTGCAGTCACACACATCTGATTCCCTTTTGCATTTATGGAGTTCACAAACACATTTCTCGAGCTGTTTTCCGCTGTTAGGA